ATAGTTTACTGTTATTGCTATGGTAGGTGCATGCAACAAGTACACTATAAAACAGTGTTACCAAAAAAAAACATTATTACTATTGTAATTGAAGTTGTGAATTCTTTGATCTTTAGTTGCCAGTGTTTTAAAGAGTGTGGTTATGGGTCTTTTTGTCTATTAATCTGCTTTTGACAGAGATGAGGGACATTAAACAAAGGGAACCATAAAGAGCGTAAGGTGTTAGACTACTGACTAATATTTTAACGCAAACAAAACAGGAAGTTCTCTCTCCCTGCCTTGAAAGCACACCCCCCACACACACACACCCACACCCACACACACCAGTGTGTCTCTCTCAAAAGCACCATGACTAATGGAAGACCTTATGACCCAGCCACGCGCAAATGCTAAAAAAAATACCGCAGAAGTGACTGAGTTAACACAGACCCTTCACACAGAACACATAAAGCAAATTAAAGATATAGTATAAATACAACAAAAGACTGAATGTGCAGCAGACACGTTGAAAAAGCCCTGACTCTTCATTCCCGTACAGAGACAAGAGCAACACCAATTCCAGGAGATTCCCGTACAGTGATTGGATTGGATTGGATTGGATTAGCCTTTATTGTCTCCTAATGGAGAAATTCATCTTTGGCCTTCAGGAAACAGATGCAACACAGTATACATTATATGCTATATAATTATCTATCTATTATAATATTATATTAGATGCTGTAATTACACTCACAGTTCCGCTGATTAATCTGATTTGGGTGGATTGTAAAGCCTATGATCCTGTATCCTATGCAAAGCCTATGATCCTGTAGCCTATGATCCTGTATAAGGAAATGTCACATGATTAGTTGATTTGAGGATTCAACATCTGTAAACCTAAAGTGTGATCTTGTCATTTTAAAATAACTTGGTAAAGAGTGTTTTATGAACCTTTTCAGTGACTGTTCTAATAGTTTCTTTTCTCTATCTTATGCTTTTATGGAATCATCAAAGCAACATGAACAACAAAACTTATATATAACATTATAATATATATATATATATATATATATATTAGTGCTGTCAAACGATTAAAATATTTAATCGCGATTAATCGCATTAATGTCATAGTTAACTTGCGATTAATCGCACATTTTTATCTATTCTAAATGTCTCTTGATTTCTTTCTCACATTATTTTAATGCTCTTATCAACATGGAAAAGTGGATTGGCTTGCTTTGTGCAAATGTTTTTTATTGAAAACAACATTGTCATATACTGTGTTCAATTTCACACATTCAACATTCTCACTTGGAGCAAATAATCTCTCATTGTAAGGCTGTCCATCAATAAAAGTGTGAAAGAAATACTGACGAGGTCCTGATTTTGACGAGGGGGCGGAGAATTTGCATCAGCTGTGTGTG